AGTACTAGTTTAATCCTAAAGAACCTTTCTATTACTATTAGGTAAGAAATAAACTCTTTTAAACTCCCAACTTCAATTTCTTAATAGTTAAAAATAAGAGAAAATAGGGTAGAATTGGAAGTTAAGGCAGTACGAGACTTACTCAATAAATAATAGGTCAAAAATGTCATCCTTGCTCTCGAAATCACTTACCCTATTAGAGGTCCCTTCTCTTCTCCATGCCAGACCTCCCCTTTCTCCTCTTCTCTTCTGTTTCACGAGATGGCACATGAACTTATTAGCCAAAATTCTGCACCATGTGCCATGGAGCTCCTATCTTCTACTGCGGCACGTGACACATTGAGGGTAATCCTTACTATGCTCACATGTTCTGCTTCGGGACTTCACTTTTCCACTCATATCTATTCACATAACATCTTAAGGAGTCAATTTAATATTCCACTACCTAGAATACTAATGTCACATTAAGTCACTAATTCATTTCGTAATTCGTTATTAATACAAGACTAGAAATTTGGGATTTTACAAGATATGTGATTGCAGAGGGCGGAAGAGAAGAAAGATGATGAGGTGGTGAGATAGAGACAAGGTGGAGTGACATGTAGACATTCTGGTTAAAAAAGAGAGTTAACAATCATACTTAACTAAAGATAATGGTAGGGGTAAGAATGATCCAATTTTAAACATTTAAGGGCAGTATTGACCAAAATGGAGATTTGGACATAGGATGTTCCTGCAAGTATAGTTTAGAGGCAAAAATGGGTTTTAACTCTAAAGAAAATGAGATATGTATCTCAAAGAAATAATTTGGTTTGATGGCGACTTTTTATTTGCTAATGGGGCTAGTAGAGAAGTATGGAAATAAAAGATGTATAAATAGTTTTTGTTGATAAAAAAAATTAATAATCAAATGCCAAAAGAATTGCTTTAGAAAGCTTTTGTCAGTATTACTTGTTTATGTTAGAGTGATAAAGAAGACCTAGGTGGCAAATTTGCCCCTAAAGTATCAGTCTAGGAGTGTCTAAACTCCTAAACTTGTTTTTGGCATATTCCCTTTCAACTTCTGAAAACAATTCAATCTTGCCCCTACCATAAATAGATGTAAACTTAGACCATTATTTGAAAATAAAATTACAAAAAAGAATTCAAAAATCATAAAAAAAAGGCCCAAAGTTTTCTTGATCTTTTTCTGTAATTTTTTGGGTCATTGCCTATAATTTTAAGTCATTTTCTTTAATTCTTTATGTCATTTGCTATAATTTTTTGAGTAACTAATAGCCAGAGTTAATTTTTATTAGTGGTAAAGTAATATTGTACCATTTTTAAAAATTAAAAGAAAATATTATACAAAAAATAAGTTTGGGGTCTAACACATTCTTGAATTTATATTTTAAGGATGAAATTATCCTTTAACCCAAACAAAAAATATAGACATTTTGGCTATTAATAAGATATCAACTAGTTGTGGTGAAACAAAGAACTTCTCTATTAGGATTAACTTGCATCATAAATCATCGCGTCCTTATTTATTTGATTTGACTATAGACGTTTTAATTGAATGCATTCAAAAGAAAATCCCCAAGTATATACTCATTATAAATTATAGTCCTAATTGAGAAGTCAAGAGATAAAATTAGCTCTAAATTGAAATTATGGAGACGGACTAAAGGGTTTTCGCTTGAGCCACTAAGCAGAAAGAATGAATACGTATATTACAAAGATACTAATAGGCAGGTTGGATTTGGAAGTAAAGGTTGAAGAACATACCAAACTACAAGTAACAAAGTTGATGTATTTTATATTGATATTACAAGATGATGAAACTGACGAAGATGTTACACATAAAATATAAAACAGGTGGCTCAAATTGGAAAAAATGTTAAGGGGGATACATCATCATAAAATAGAAAAGATAAGAATCATGTTAATAGTCTAAGAGAGTAAGTGTTGTTTCTATTGAAGAGAAAATAACAAAAAATTGTTTAATATGACTTGATCATGTGCAAAGTCCAATGGAGAAGCTAACAAAGAGAGGCAAGCTAATAGGCTATGGTCCTGTTAAAATAGGCAGAGGAAGACAAAGTCAGTTAAGGAAATTACCAATCAAGGCCTTCTAGTTAATGGTTTATTTAAAACAAAAAATGGCTTTGGATAGAACACAATAATATTATGCAACTCATATAGCTTACCATACTTAACAAGAAAACACTTGTTATTTTTATAAGGAGTTATGCCAAATGATAATTATATTTCAATTAAAAAAACTTGCTTAATGCAACATTTGCTTTGATTTTAGGGAGAATTTTCATTAAAGTTATTTAAGTTATTTAAGAAGGTTATTTTAGTTATGTTGCCTTACATTTTAATTTCATATTTATTTGGGTCTCATTTGTGATAATATCATATCTATGGTCCTTTAATAAAATTCTCCCTTGATTTTATTAATATCCATTTGGTTCAAATTAAAAGATAAAATAGATAATATTTATAACACATTTCCCCTATATTTAAGGGAAAATATCATTTAAGGACTACTGAGGAAATTTAATATCAAACAAAAATTAAAATATTTTAAAATATCATTGCAAGACTAGATGGGTGATTCGAAAATAATTTTAGATAGGAAAAGACTACAATACCTCTTCTTTTCTTTTCTTTTTAAATTCATCAATTAGAGAATTGTTTCTTATTAAATGCGAATAAATATTTGATAATTAATAAATGACTGTTTGTTAAAATATGATTTACACTTTTTCCTTCCCATGACGAAACACTTTCAAATTCTTGAACTTGTCAATAAATGCATAACTTATTAAATACAAATAGGTACTTATTAACTAATGAATAACTACTTGATGAAACATGATCTATAGTTGTACCTTCTTACAACTAAGCATTTTTAAATTTTTGAATTTATCAATTAGCGAATAATTTTTTGTTATATATAAATGAGTACTTGTTAATTAATGAATGAGTACTTTGCGAAAGACTTCTTGTTAAATATAAATGAGTATTTGTTAATTAACAAATGACTGTTTGTCAATTAAAACAGAAAAGTAGGGAGATATTATAGTTTTTTCATTTAAAATTATTTTCAATTTAATTCTTTGGTCTTATAATGATATTTGAAAATCTTTTTTATCCTTATTTGATATTAAATATCCTCAATAGTCTTTGAATGATACTTTCCCTATATTTAATTAATAATTTTCTTATTGACAATCTGAATGTCATTCCATTCTGACGAACTTTTGGGACAAGATAAAAAAATATATCAGGGTTTACTTAACAAGGTTGAAAGAAATATAATCGGATTTGAAAACGCAAGTATCACTTCTTGTTTACTTTGAAGTCCAATACTATGTACATGCAAATGTGCAAGCCTTCAACAATTGAAGGTAACCTAACAATACAATAGCATAATAAGAACATTAATCTAGATAATTAATACAACATAAAAACCTCAAGAGGTCATAAAACACTAAACCCTAGGGAAAGAAAACCATTCAGATAGCATGCCAAAAAGTTGTAAGTAATGATGACCATTCATATGTACAACATTTTCAATAAATTATGAGGTTAAAGTGTAAATTTGCTCTTAAACTTTTTCACAAGGTGCAATTGATATCGTAAAATTTTAAAATGCAATGCTCCCCCTAAAATAGTGCAATATTATTCAATTTTAATAGATTTAAACTTTTGACTATCAGTTGACTTCACTAAGTTGAGGTGACATGTCCATATATTATCCACCTCACTTTGTTTTCCCCTTTCATAAGTCTAGCTGGCAGCCACATACATATTTTAAAATTAAATATCAACACGAAGGAAGAGAAGAAACATGTCTTTCATTGCACTAGCCCTCTCCTCCATCCTTGTCTTCACACATTTCTTGTCACCCACAAATTCCCTAGCCACAACGATGCTATTGTCCATTTTCTTCATGAGTTAACATGCAATTTAAATCTTAAATTATAGGTCCACAAACGATTTGAATTGTAAACTTTAATAAGATACATTTTAAACTCTAAATAATTAAAATTGAAACAATTTCACCTCTACCGTTAATTTTCAACAAACATCCGTCAAATTCATTTAAAAAAAATTACACTTTTAAGTCCTAGTTTGATGAAGAAAGTTGCATTTTTGCAGGATATGGTGATTGCCAGCATCATCCTCCCAGCCTCAGGTTCGCAGTGCCTCAAGAATAAAAACGGGTCATTCTTCTCCAACGTCTATTAATACCCATAGCCTTGGTTGCAATCATCCATATCAGATTTTTGTATGCAATTGTTCCTAGAAAATTTCGCGCGAAACTACCAATAGATGAATGCTTGACAAGGCTATAGGGTTTCATGGCCACAACAAAGCTAACCCTCTTAGTGGTCAATTTGTGTTGGTTAACTTAGGTTGATTTCCTTACTGCGCTCAAATTGAATGATTTGGAAGGGTTCTCGAACACAAGATGAAGACTCAATGACCATGAAGCTTTCCTAGGTACTTCGTCATAGTTGAAGGCAGCATCATCCCACCCCTGAAGCTTCGAGACGATCATGGCATTTGGGAATTGTAGGAAGCTCATAGGTCATAGCTTTGTGATTCTATGGAGAAGTTGGATTCTGAAGTCTCAATTCTTGAAAGACTCTTGAATTGAAGAAGTGAAAATTTAGTGTGCTTATGAAGAGTAAACTATTTTTTATTAAATAAAAATTATGGCTGCCAACAAAGCATAGGGTCAAAAAATCACAAGTTAATCGTCAATGTTAGGGATTTGTTAGTTTTGGGCCATATCGTACCGCTTTTAAAAGTACAGAAAAAACATTGGACTTCTTAAAACTCAAGGATACCAATTGCATCTTGTGAAAAAAATTTAGGAGTGAATTTGCACTTTAACCCTAGATTATGAGATAACTCTCCAATGTCCTTGCTTTTTTAATGTGTCAACAAATTTATCTATTAATCTAACAATCAGAAGGCATGCAAGTCCTAAAAAGATTGAGTTGGATAAACCGAACAATTATGACTTCATATAATTATCTCTAATACCCGGTCAAAAGTAGGAGTCCCGAAAAGATATGAACTACCCTAAACCGGCGTACAACCTACCTAAACTGAGTAGTACACATTATCTCCTTTTTTTCTGGCACTGTTACAAGCATATGATATCACTAATATAAAAGAATTAACAAAATGTAATCAAGCTATTACTGTTTTACATTTAGTAAGAGGAAAACTACACTAAAAGTACATTTGATCTAGTACAATCTTTTTTCTATCGAGCAATATGCTGCCCAAATTCCCAAAATGATTGACTGGTAGATGACAAGGGCCCCCCACACTCCAATAGACCCTTTATCCATTTCACTCTATTTACAAGCTCCTCCAAATCCAGTATTGCATCTTCTATACGATGTAAAAACATTGAATCAAGACAAATATTTTTATCCTTTCTTAGCTTTTTTGAGGGTTTCTTATCAAACAACCCATCATTGATTTCTTTCGTTCCCATATTTTCAGTTGACTCATCCTTCACATGATTACTTGGAGCCTTATCCAAAGAATTAGCTTTTCTAATGCTAGTGTCACCTACTTCTAAGTCCATACAAGTTTTAGTAGTATTATTCACTGCGATGGGTCCCTCCGAAGCGTCTAAGAAAGGCTCAGGACTCGGAGAAGAATGTGAAGAACTACATTGCAATGATGTACTTGCGGAAGTTTGAACAACTGCTTTTCCATCTGCAGCATAGCAAAACGTGGTCGGAAAGAAGCAGCTATGAGAAAGAAGCAGCAAGACAAGGTGTCAAAAGAAAAGTCAGCCTTTAGCCAAAAAAAGAGAAAAAAGAACAAAAGGAAAAATCAGAAATTTTTCATGCAGACTCCAAATTAAAAAAAAAAAAGAAAAAGAAAAAGAAAAAGAACAAAGGAAATCCAGTATTGCATCTCCTACACGATGTAAAAACAAGGAATCAAGATTCAAGTCAAATATTTTTTTCCTTTCTTAGCCTTTTTGCGGGTTTCTTATCTTTCGTTCCCATATTTTCAGCTGTCTCATCCCTCAACAGAGTTCTAGGAGCCTTATCCAAAGAATTAGATTTTCTAATGCTAGTGTCACCTACTTAAGTCCATACCAGTTTTAGCAGCATTATTCACTGTGATTGGTCCCTCCAAAGCCTCTAAGAAAGGCCCAGTACTTGGAGAAGAATGTGAAGAACTACATTGCAATGACGTACGTACGGAAGTCTGAACAACTGCTTTGCCATCTGCAGCATAGCAAAACGTGGTCAGAAAGAAGCAGCTATGAGAAAGTGTGGTGATGTTGAATTTATTATAAATATTCTTCGCTTATTAGTAGGGAGTACTGTTGATTATTAAGAATTAATAGTTCTTGTTATAGTCTCTCAGCTAGGTGTATATATACCAGTTGTAAACACATAATTTTGAATCAATAAGAATAATATTTTCCCTCTCCATGCCACATTCTCCATAAATGCCCAATTCACTGTCACATGCCTTCTCCAAGTAGAGATCTTTATGGCCATCAATCCTTTCCTCCTACACATCCTATTCATTGTATGTGAAATTTCCTTTGCAACAATAATATTTTATTGTATGAATCTTGCCCAGCACAAAGCTAGATTGGTACGGGGAAACTATTTTATTCATCAAAGACTTCAATCTGTTTACAACAATCTTTGCCACCACTTTATTCCACACATTACAAAGAACAATAGGCCTTAAAGTTCTAGCGAACAACGGACGCCTACAAATGTGAAGTAATAGAAGCAAGCACAAGTGAGTGTCGGAGTACAGGTGCGGGTATCGTTTGGAAGAGGGGGAGTGGGAAGTGGGGGTTTTCAAGCATAATCCTACCGCTACTGGGCCTACAACTTTGCTGGGCCAGGGGATATCATAATATTGAGATCAAAATCAGTTGTGCTCAGAGTTACAACAAACTTACTAGGGACAGCAGTTACTTTGCCCTTGTTTTAACACTCTGTGCGATATCAAAGATATCACCTTACGTGATAGGAATCTCTCTGTTCTTTTTTTTTTTTTCCTAATGATTGCAACTGTCTCAGAAATCCCTCACGCTTAGGGTCTGTTGGTAGTGATTCTTTTGGTTCCTTTGATAATCAACCTTTTTAGGCCAGTTTGAAAAGGTGCATGGTGAAAGGGGCAGGTTTTTCATTTGACTTCTCCTTTTGTAATTTCGCTTGGTTTTGTTAATATATAGTTCCATTTTCATCCAAAAAATAATAGGCCTTAAATGGCCTACTACTTTAGGCTTTTCAATTTTCGGAATCAGCACCAGCAATGTCATATTCAGCCCCTCAACGACTCAGATTATACCAAACATGTGAAATTAAATTCACCACACTAGATCCAACAATGTCCCAATTATTATGATAAAACACAGATGAGAAACCATCCTCTACCAGTGCTTTAAATCCTCCAATACTGAATATTGCCTTATCTCCTCCCCATCAATAGACCTCTTCAAGTTTTCAATTATCCTCGAATCAACTTCACCCCACTGATGCTTAGTAACATGCTGCTCTTGCTGTTAGGAGCTCAAAATTGACAGAGAGAAATAAGAAGAGCAATTCTATTAAAATAATATAGAACAAGAATCTCAATTTATACTTCTCTCAATAGCCATGTTTAGGAAAATCTCCAAAGAGCTCAAAAGTCTGTTTTATTTATGATATGTCAGCTTTTAAGTTGACAAACATATTTATAATACTAAATACAATCCAAAATAATTGAACATCTAAATAAAATCTAAATAACTAGATATCTAGATAAATAAACATCTAAATAAAATATAAATAATATTATTAAATAGAAAATATCTAAAATAAATTAAAAATAATATTTATTCCTAATATTTCTCTTACTTTCCAAACCACCTGTTATCCCTCATCAATCGATACTCTATCAATACTCTCCCCTTGGAAATTTGCCTTGTCCTTAAGGCAAGACAGGCAAAACTTTCTTGGATATTTAGAGGTTTAGATGGGAGTAATAGATAAATAGCAATATCTCCAATTTGGGCTCCAGAAATAGAGTTGGTCCGAACAAGAGATCCACTATTCACCAAGCTCAAAACCTTCCACTCAAAGAAAGGCTCCTAAAACTTCATCGTTGCTGTAAAAGCTTTTCCTAAACCTGCAGCAAAGAAGGTTTGGCACTTTCTAGAACTATCTTGACTTTAGTGTTGTCTTTCAGAGGAGAGTTGAGCTCCTTGCCATGTGCAAGCTCTGAAACAGAAACATGCAAAGCCAAAAAAGGCTTGGAGTTTGTTGGGTCTCCAAGAGATGAAGAAGAGAAGGTCGCATCTCCTTAGCCTCATGAAATGAATGTATTTCCAGTCAATAGTGTTTAATTTTGACTAGGTTGTTTCACTCCTTCATGACCACAAGCGTGTTAGACCATAAACTCACAATTTAACTTAAACTCAAGTGCTTTTACACAATTCTAGGTTGAGGAGTTCTGCTTTTCTAAATTTTCATATCTCCCTTAACTCCTAAAAGAATTTGGGCTAGCTTTGGTTTGTTTGCTAGTTCACACAATTGGTGGTGCCCTGATTGTAGCATTAAAGACGTCAAGGCGACCTATGATGTAAAGGAATCAGTGCGTATCATAAGGCAAGGAAAATGGTTAGATAGGGAATTGCATGGCGAGATGGGTGGTGAGGATGAAGGTTTAGGAGGGGTGTATAGGTGGTAGGAACCCATTAAGGATTGAACGGATTTGATACCAAATGTTAGGAGCTCAAAACTGATAGAAAGAAATAAGAATAGTAAACTTATTAGGATGATAGAATAAGAATCTCATTCTATACTTCTTTTAATAGCTACACTTGAAAGAATCTTCAAAAGATTCAAAAGTCTGCTTATTCATATGTCAGCTTCTAAATTGACAAGCATATTTATAATGCTAAATACAATCTCAAATAATTGAATATCTAAATAAAACCTAAATAACTAGATATGTGGATAAATATCTAAATAACCAAATATCTGGATAAATATGTAGATACCTAAACAAAAATCTACATAATATTATTAAATGGAAAATATCAAAAAATAAATTAAAAATAATATTAAATCCTAATAGTATAATCCCTCATTAAGCAGTGCTCTATCACTCACTGTAGCTTGTCATCTATATATAGCCTGTCAAAAAAACTCCGGACCATTCCCATAATCTTAGTCTCACCCTCCACCCAACACCCCTCTTCGTCTTTTAACATCAAAATTTTATTTCTTCTTCCATCAATTGTCTTCAAATGATAGTATTTTGTGTTTCTATCCCCATTTTGCAAGCACAAGTAACAAAATGATGCCAATAAATCTCCTCCAGCTGGAGAACCTCAAGTAACTCTCCTTGCAATAGTTAACTCAAATTTTCGAATGAGGATTTCTGTCTCTTCCGAACTTGATTTGAATGCCCCCCAATCTGGCCTGAATACATCTTTCTCTCTTCAAAACACTCCCAAAAGCATCATGATTCCAATGAGCTTAGGAGTTTCAAAGACTTAAAATAGTATTATGAGCCTCTCCTTCAACCAACTCACTTTTCAGAAACTCCTTAAATCCTTCATGCATGATTCCACATTTCTTCAAAACAAAATGATCTTTGGTAAAACTTTCACAACCATATCAGGAAACTATTGCTGCGAAACATCATTCACAAACAGCAATCTAAAGATTTATACACCCTCTAACGTCCCTTCCATTTTGGTCCTTTCCTTGTGAACAAAGGCCTGTAGACTCCAAATCTACAAACCCGCATCTATTACACCAATCTCTAAACGCATTACATCATGCCACGCTTGGAGCTTCCCCTCCACCCTGCTCCAATGGTGACATTATGTCATCAAAATCTCCCATCATCACCCAAGGTTCAGAGATAATTCTTGCCATGCATTCCCACTTTCCCCACAACTCTTTTCTGCCCACCCTTTGGGGATTAGCATAGGCAAATGTACTTAAAACATTCACCAAATTCTTTACCCTGCACCTTAACATGCATGAACTACACCTCTCATAGGATAGAATCATTAGCAATGTCCCCTTCATTCCAACAGAACAATATGCCTCCAAAATAACCAACTTTCTCCGCCCTTGCGTAACTTCTACATGCCATTCTATTGATTACTTCATCTGTTTTTCTTCCACTTACTCATGGTTTCAGCAAGACCATAATATCTAGCCCATGACATCTTAGTAACTCTTTCAATGCAACCATATATCCTAAGCATGAATATGTAATTTGCAAGAAAAACAACACAACAAATAGAATCTCAATCAGCCATACACTCCTCATAAACTTTAGATTCCCAGCCTAGAGGTGCGGCAAATAGTAAACAATTGACATTTTAATGGAAAGAAATGTTTTAAAATCAGTTGCAAGCAAAATACAAGTTTGACAAACATCTCCTACAAAGTCAAGAGTGAAAAACAGCACAACTTGAAACTTATTTACCTGAATGTCTTGGCTTAGCTATCTGAGCACAAAACTGTAGTTTTCCACCATTTAGAAACTGATCACAAACAAATAAGGTATGCAAATTAGCAAACTTAAAAGCGTAAATAACCGTAGATAGTCAAATTCCTTGCTAAATAAACGAGATATCAATACAGCGGTACTTGTAACAATATAACTGAAGTAACGGAAAACAACTAGAAAATATCAACTTTCCTTTTGTGTTCACTTTCCATTTGTTTTTTATAGTTATCATTCTTTAGACGATCTATTTGGTTTAAACTTTGCTACTTGCACAGTAATATTGACGGCAACTGTAACAGTGATTTAGAAGAGGAAGTGTGATAGGAGCTCAAAATAACTGGAAGAAATAATAGGAATAAACCTATTAAGATGATATAAAACAAGAATCTCATTCTATATTTTTCTCAATAGCCACGCTCGGGAGAATCTTCAAAAGGTTTGAAAAACTATTTTATTAATCTCATGATATGCTAGCTTCAAGGTTGCTAGTCATATTTATAATGCTAAATACAATCTAAAATAAAATCTAGATAACTATTTAAGATAATGAATAAAATCTAGATAACTAGATGACTAAATAAAATTTCCTAAAATCCAAAATAGTGAATAAAATCTAACTAGATAAAATCTGAATCTAAATAAATAAATAAAATCTGAATAAATATCTAAAAACTAAATAAAATACTAAATTAAATGAAATTAATGCTAATTTATCTTTTGCTTCTTCCTTCTTGAATAAGTCTGAATTCTATTTGGAATCTTATCATTACCCCCCTCTTGAAAACTCAACTTGTCCTCAAGTTGAAAAAAAGGGAATTGAGCATGCAATATGTTGTAGTCCTCCCAGCTCGCATCTTCCACAGGTCGCTCATGCCATTCCACCAATAGTTCAAGCAAATGATAACGAGTCCATCTATGATCTAAGACTCGATGAGGTCATACATGTAACTCAAAATCAGCTGATAATGGTAAGGCAGCTAGTGCAAGCGGTGGATCCATCCCATGAGCCAGGCACAAGAGAGATTGATAGGTGCTCATGATAGTAAAATAAAATAAGAGAAATAAATCTATTAAGATGGTATAGAACAAGAATCTCATTCTAAACTTCTCTCAATAGCCACGCTCAGGAGAATCTTTAAAAGGTTTAAAAGATTGTTTTGTTGATGATGATATGCTAGCTTCAAGGTTTCTAGTCATACTTATAATGCTAAATACACTCTAAAATAAAACCTAGATAACTATCTAAGATAATGAATAAAATCTAGACAACTAGATAACTAAATAAAATCTCCTAAAATCTAAAATATTGAATAATAGATAAAATACTGAATCTCAATAAAATCTAAAGAATTAAATAGAATATAAAGAAATACAAAATACTTAATCAAATGAAATTAATCCTAATTTATCTTTTGTCGCTTTCTTCTTGAACAAGTCTGAATTTTATCTGGAATCTTATCAATACCCCCCTTTTGAAAACTCAGCTTGTCCTCAAGTTGAAAAGAAGGAAATTGAGCATGCAAAAGGTCGTGGTCCTCCCAACTTGCCTCTTCCACAGGTCACTCAAGCCATTCTACTAATAGCTCAAGCGAATGATGATGAGTCCATCTATGATCTAAGACTCAGTGAGGCCTTACAAGTAACTCAAAATCTGCCGATAGTGGTAAGGAAGTTGGTGTAATTGGTGGAGCCATTCCATGAGCCTGGCATAAGAGAGATACATGGAAAATAGGGTGAATATGGGCGTCAGCTGGCAGTGCCAATTCATAAGCTACTTTACCAATCCTTTAAAGAATCTTATAGGGCCCAAAGAAGCAAGGTGATAATTTTTCAAACTTTCGCTTGGTAAGTGATTGTTGGCGAAAAGGCTATACTCGCAACCACACCAAATCACCTACAGCATACTCGACTTCCCTTTGGTGCTTGTCAGCATAAGCCTTCATATAGTCCTGAGCCTTGCGCAAATCATCCTTTAGAAGTCGGATCATTGCACCTCTAGTCTCAAGTTGATCTTCCAAGTCAACTACAGGTGTTTCTCCTTTCACATAAGGAAGCAAGGGAAGAGGATCTCTCCCCTATACCAGTTTGAAAGGTGAATGGTTGGTTGACGCATGATGACCTGTGTTGTATGGATATTCTGCCCAGAAAAGAAACTTGTGCCAAGATTTGGGTTGCTCATGGGCAAAACATCGTAGATAGGCTTCAAAACCGTGGTTGACCACTTCTGTTCGACCATCTGTTTGGTAGGTAGTACTCATCTTCAACTTGGTCTGGCTTAATCGGAATAACTCTTGCCAGAACGAGCTCATGAAGATAGGGCCCCTATCAAAGATAATTGAGCGAGGTACCCCATGTAAGCGAATAATTTCCTCACAAAAGATTGTGGCCACCTTCTTTGCAGTGTAAGGATGCGAAAGAGCAAGAAAATGTGCATACTTACTCAAACGATCCACTACTACCAAAATAACCTCAAACCCACCTGACTTAGGAAGACCAGCGATAAAATCAAGGGGAATGTCTTCCCAAGTTTGAGAAGGTACGGGTAATGGTTGAAGAATTCCGACTGGTGCCAGGGTTTGATACTTATTTTGCTGACAAGTGGCACAATGTCGCACATATGCCTTAACATCCGCTTTCATTGCTGGCCAATAAAAATTCTCCGCAAGACGCTCAAATGTTTTAAGAAAACCGCCGTGCCCTCCAATAGTAGTAGAATGGGCTTCTGCTAGCAACTTGGGTCGCAACTGTGATGAATAAGGAATGACTACTTTGTGGTCATAGAAAAGTTTTTCATTAACAAGGTGGAATCTAGGTCGGGAAGTCGGATCTTTCTATAAATCTTGCATTATTTCATTAGCGAAAGGATCCAATGTCAACTCAAAAGAAAGGTCATCCAACTCTATAGCAAAAGGTACTGCCATTTGAAAAAAAATGGGCATGTTGTGGGCACCTTGACAACACGTCAACCCCCTTATTCTCCACTCCTACCTTGCGGATGATGGTAAAATTAAGGGGTAAAAGTTTGATGATCAACCGCTGTTGAGTGTTCGTTGTGGTACGTTGTTGTAATAAATATTGAAGACTAGCGTGGTTTGTTCTTACTAGAAAATGCCTCCCTAAGAGGTAATGGCGCCATTTTTGGACTACAAGAACTAACACTAGGAGTTCACGATCGTAGGTGGATTTGAAGCAGTTAGAGAAAGAAAATCCTTTACTGAAGTACGCAATAGAGTGGTTATTTTGCATAAGTATAACACCAATTCCTTCTGTGGATGCATCGCATTCAACTGTAAATTCTGCTTTAAAATTAGGCAACTGTAGGACGGGTGCCATCATCAATGCTTGTTTAAGATGATCAAAGGCCATTTGAGCTAGTTCAAACCATAAGAAGGCATCCTTCTTAGTTAATTTAGTGAGAGGACGAGCAATAATCCTGAAATTCTTCACAAAATGCTGATAATATCCTGCCAAGCCTAAAAATCCATGTAATTCCTTCATAGTTTTAGGAGTAGACCATTCACGTACTGCTTCCACCTTTTTCGCTCAACTTCAACTCCCTGGGCAAAAATATTATGCCCTAAGAAGGGAACTCATGGTCTCCCAAGAAAGCATTTTTTTAAATTAACACAGAACAAACTTTCCGTAAGGTCTGCAAGACAATACATCGGTGGTCTTGGTGTGTTGGAAAGAGGAACTGTATATCAGAATATCATCAAAGAAGACCAAGACAAACTTTCACAAATAAGGGCGAAATAAATCGTTCATATCTGCTTGAAAAGTGGTTGGTGCATTAGTTAAGCCGAAAGGCATGACTATGAACTCATAGTGTCCCACGTGAATTCAAAATGCTGTTTTGTAAATATCCTCAGGTTGCATCCTAATTTGATGGTACCTAGATCGTAGATCCAATTTGGAAAAGTAAACCGCCCCATATAGTTCATCTAATAACTCATCAATATTGGGAATTGGATGCTTATCTGGGACTGTAATGCTATTCAATTTTCGATAGTCTACACAAAATCACCATGAACCATCTTTCTTTGCAACCAATAATACTGGGCTAGCAAATGGACTGGAACTGGGATGAATAAAACCTTTGTTTAATAATTCTTCAACTTGTTTCTCAAGTTCAGCCTTTTGATAATGTGGATAGATATGGTCGTAAGTTGGGTGGTTTGGCCCCAGGTAGCAGGGAAATGGTATGTGAGTGATTTTTGAATGGTAGCAAGGTTGTGGGTTCTTCAAAAAACAGCTGGGAAGTTTGCAAATAAAGGTTCAAGGTTGAAATCTGTGAAGGATTGAGAGTCAGCGGAAGCTTTTATTTGTTGAATTGAATTAAATTGAGCACCTTTAATAGTGTCAGGGACTCCTTGTAGCTTATACCTCTTGCCATTCCACCAGAAAATCATAAAGAGTTCATTCCAATTGGCTTGCACTGTATTAAGAGATGCTAGCTACTTAATGCCTAGTACCAAATCTGCCCCTCCCAAGGAAAATAGGAAAAATTCTTCTTTAATGGTTAGCTCTGTGAGCTTAACTCCCACATCTTTACATACTCGGTTGCAATGTACAATACTACTATCTCTAATTTGGACTCCGAATGCAAAAATATAATGAGTGGAAAGACATAATTCTTGCACCAATGAGTATGATATAAAATTATGAAAGGACCCACTATCTACAAGTAACAAGACTTCTTTGTGAGCAGTGTCCCCTTAAGTTTCATTGCTGCCCATGTGTTGCTACCTAGAATAGCATTTAATGAAATTTATACCCCCTCTACTGTAATATTATCGGGTTTACGGTCTTCAAAAGGGGGAACGACTTCATCTCCTTCTTCTATGATTTCCATGAGAGAAAGCAACCCCTGACAGTAGTGCCCAGGCCGAAACACGTCTCCATAGCGAAAACACAGCCCCTTATCTCTCCGTCTTTGCTATTTGACATCCAGGGCTGAATTTCTAGTTGACGCCGAACTCGCTGGTCTGCTTCCTGTCAGCATTGAGGTAAGCAATCTTTGTGAAGATGACGAGAATGAGAGATCCAAAGTTCTTTAATCGCGTACGCCAAGTGCAGTATGGAAACCGGCTTGGGTCTAGGTTGGGTTAGCTTTGGTTTTGCTGACACCCACTTTATTTTCGATTTCCAATGCTAGACTCACTGCTCGGTAGACCGAGCTTGGCTTATGGATGCATCCGTCCAATCTCAACTCCTCCTTCAATCCGTTCATGAAGACGTCGAGCAAGCAATGCTCCGACCAGTTCTTCACTCGCACTCATCGTTTTGTGAACTCTGTGTAGTAATCCTGTACTGACCTTTCTTGCTTGATGCTGCAGAGAAGCTCGTTTGGATTTTGGTATTCAAGGGGACCGAAATTCTCCTGAAACGCTGCCACGAGTTCGTCCCAGTAATGGATTGTTTTTTCGTGGCTGATCCAAGCGAAAAAATCCAACACATCACCCTCTAATGATAATGATGCCACGCCCACCTTCTCTTCCTCAAGTGTGTTATAGTATTTAAAATACTTTTCAGCGTTTAAAATCCAACCTCATGGGTCAACTCCATTAAATTTTGGAAATTCAATTTTGGTGTGATGAAATCTGGTGCGTCTACAATTTTCTTGCTCATCTACACTCTCTTCATCTTCATAAGAGTGTCTATGGTGTGAATCTCTTGGTTTCTTGATTGCTGAGGTTTCAAGAGCCTCTACCTTTTCTTTTAATAAATCGAGAGTTTCAAGTTTTCGAGCAATTATAGCTAATTGGTCTGACATGAGTGAATTCAAATTTTCTGAGTCATCATTGGGCGAGTTGTCAGATGGGTTGGTTTCTTGACCGTTACGTGTGGCAACCATGGCTTTGATGCCAAATTGATAGGTGCTTATGATAGTAAAATGAAATAAAAGAAATAAATCTATTAAGATGGTATAGAACAATAATCTCATTCTAAACTTCTCTCAATAGCCACGCTTAGGAGAGTCTCCAAAGAGTTTAAAAGACTGTTTTATTGATGATGATATGCTAGCTTCAAGGTTGCTGGCCATATTTATAATGCTAAATACACTCTAAAATAAAATCTAGATAACTATCTAGATTATTGTGTTAGGAGGAGGGTTGTGTTAGGCCATCAACAGCCAATGTAAAAATTTGTTGAATCTATCATGAACATGGACAATAGACACTCTAAAATAAAATCTAGATAACTATCTAAGATAATGAATAAAATCTAGATAACTAGATAACTAAATAAAATTTCCTAAAATCTAAAATACTAAATAATAAATAAAATAATGAATCTCAATAAAATCTAAGGAATTAAATAGAATATAAAGAAATATAAAATATTAAATCAAATGAAATTAATCCTAATTTATCTTTTGCCGCTTCCTTCTTGAATAAGTCTGAATTTTATCTGGAATCTTATCCGAGATACACAGAAAATAGGGTGAATACGAGCATCTACTGGAAGCTCTAATTCATAAGCTACTTTGCCAATTCTTTGAAGAAACTTGTAGGGCCCAAAGAAGTGCGGTGATAATTTTTCAAACTTTCGCTTGGCAAGGGACTGTTAGCGAAAGGGTTGTACTCGCAACCACACGGCATCGCCCACATCATACTCAACTTCCCTTCGATGCTTGTCAGCATAAGCCTTCATTCGGTTTTGAGCCTTGCGCAGATCATCCTTCAAAAGTCGAATCATTGCATCTCTAGTCTCAAGTTGATCTTTCAAGTTAGCTACAGGTGTTTCTCCTTTCACATAAGGAAGTAGGGGAGGAGTATCTCCCGTATACCAGCTTGAAAGGTGAATGGTTGGTTGACATATGATGACCTGTGTTGTATGAGTATTCCACCCAGTAAAGGAACTTGTACCAAGACTTGGGTTGCTCGTGTGCAAAATGTCGCAAATAGGCTTTAAGGTTGCGGTTGACCACTTCTGTTTGACCATCTGTTTAAGGATGGTAAGCAGTACTCATCTTCAACTGGGTTTGGCTTAATCGAAATAACTCTTGCCAAAATGAACAAATTTGTTCATTTTACCCACATTAGTTTTGAATTCTAAGACTATTAATAACAACAGTCATCTTCATCTTGCTCCTCTACTACATCATTCGCCTACTACGCTTTCTAGTGATGAAGTTACTGCATTTGTGAATGAACAAGTTATTCTTGAATCACACAATCCCCTCCATTGTTATCTTGTTCATTAGACAAGATTTCCAAACTTCAATATTATGATTCTACATGCTTAGAGTTTTGTTGTTCATTTGATGCCATTTATTGGCATCTGAATTGTTGAAAAGAGTTTACAAATAGAGACAACTTGAAATCTCTTGATCATCCCATTGTACTTCCTAAACATATCCATAATTTTACTCTCTGGAGGAGAGTTTTTCAAAGCGGGGAGAAATGATGGAAAGAGAAAAGGAATAATTAAATATTTGAGAAAATTTGAGGATTGAAGAATAATTAGGAATTTTTTTTATTTTAATTGTCATATTAATTAGGAATGTCTTGTTTTAGTTGTTGTATTATTTGAATTATTGCTATATTTTAGTATTTATTGTTAATATTTACATTTAATTTTAGGATTTCTAGAATATTTCTTTTTTAATTCTAGGATTAGGTTAAAGCCTGTAAATAGTGTCTTAACTCATTTGCTTTGCACATGTCTTTTGAATGAGAATTGCTATCATTTTGCCTCTCCTATAAGTTTGTCTCCTCTTTATAATCTCTCTGTTGTCTTTCTATCCTTTTCTCTACTCTTTCCTCTTCTCTTCTCCCTTCCCCTTCCCTGTCCTACATCAGTCTACTACTAGGAATTGCACTTATGTGGGGGGGAATTTAGCCACTTAGAAGTAAAAAGGCAATTGGTTGTCTCAATATGTAGTGTTGTGCCTAAACTCATAGTCGTGGCACTTGGAACTTGCAAAGGTATATGGGTTACCAAACTAATAAAAGAATTGAAAGTTCCGTATGGTGGTCTTGTGAAGCTTTGGTGTGATAATAAGGCTAGCATTGAAATGACCAAGAATCCAATGCATCATGAAAGAAGAAAACATGTTGAAATTGGTAGAAACTTTATCGTTATTGTCCCTAGTATCTCAATGGAATCCTCTCACTTTATGAAAGAATCCAAGATAGGTAGAGAAAAATAAGGAAGACTATTAATGACGTAACTCAAATAATGGAGGATAACTACATGAAAAGTAAATAAATAAAATTATATACTTAACCTACAAATACCATAATTCAATACTCTTAAACTTGAGGACAGCTCAACAAAACAAAAAAATAACCTAAATAATATTATTAAATAAAAAATATCTAAAATAACTTAAAAATAACGTTTATTCTTAATATTTCTCTAACTTTCACATCACCCATGATAACATAATAATCAGTACTTTATCACTTTGATGAAGAGCTTTGTAACTACAAAACTTATTTTCCCATTCAATGAATAAAGCAATTCTTACAACATCACAAAAAACTTCAAAACCCAGATGCTACACTCAATCAAGGAAGTAAAATGCTCATGTTACACCACATTTTGCATAATTCATATAAAATATCATCAAGAACAACCCTTATAAACACTTTGCTAAATAAATTAAGAGATCAAACATACTTTGGTCAGGATAGTCAACATATTCCATGAGACAAAACATTTGACCTTTCTTCTCGCGAATCTGCCTAATCTGGAAGGGGAAAAAAATGAATGCTGAGTTAACCACATGATATAATTGAAACTTCATATTAGCATAAGAATAGAAAAATGTTATGAATAAGAAAAGCATGATACTATCTCATGTATCAAGGATAAAATTGCATGAAGGCAATCCTACCATGCAATAGGCCTTGAAATGACACAATAGCAAAGGGCATGACTATCAAACCTAAGTGTATAAGATGTTAGGGAACTTGTTGAAATAAAATCCCTAATGGATTACAAGTTTATAATTAAATAGACTTTGACTCTTTGTTGCAAGCTTCAAAGTTCAATATTGATTTACATGTATCATTGGTTTGAGTCAAGAATAATCTTGCTCATATTTAATTTCAATGTTTTAACTCTGCTTATATTTATAGCCGGTCCCAAGCTCGGGTAAAAGAGGAGGGCCGTGTCAAGTCTTTCATAGCCAACATAAAACTTTGTTGAAACTCACATGAATGCGAACAATAAACAATTTGGTGATAATGTTAGGTCATTGCCTATAAGTCACACAATGTATGACTCAAGTGTAGTAACAAGTGAGTTAGAACCACTGTATCTATACCTGAATGTGGTGTTAAATGAGCAAGGGCTACTGCATTATTTTGAATGAACACAACTAAAGAAGTAAGTTCATGTGAGAAAGATAAGATTTGGTACTTAGAATGTTGGGACCTTGACTTGTAAATTTATAAAAGTAATAGGAGTTATGATTCATAGAAGAACTAATATCTTGTACTTGCAGGAAACCAAATAGCTCAATGAACAAACTAAAGATATTTAAGGTTTCAAACTTTAGCATACAGAGCAAATAAGTACACAAAATAAGGTGAGCATCATTGTTGATGAGGAGTGGAAAAAGGACGTGGTAGAAGTTAACAGAATTGGGAATAGAAGTATTTCCTTAACAATAATCTTTGGTCGTAAAACTGTCAATATTATTAGTAAGCCGAAGCAAAAGCCAGTCTTAAGGAATTGTTTTGGGAAGACTTAGAGGGGTTGATTCAACACATACTACAAAGTGAAAAAAATCATTATTAGAAGAAACTTTAATAGTCATATCGGGAGGAAGGCAGGTGATTATGCGAGGGTGCATGATGAGTTTGGTTTTGGGAATCTAAACAATAAAAGAAAATCTATTCTTGATTTTTTTCTTTTTGGCATATGATTTCAAAATGGCCAACACATGTTTCAAAAAAAGAGATAAACATCTAATCACTTACAAAAGTCAAGCCTCAAGGTCACATGTTGATTTCTTTTAAGTAAGGAACACGAACAAAAGACTCAATAAAAATTGTAAAGTAATTCCTAAAGAGGGAGTAACGACACAAAATCCTTGTCCATGATGTGTGTATTATGGGTAAAAATCAAAAGCGCCGACAAGAATCTTATAGGACAATATGGCTAAAAAGGTAAGGAAGGTTGCTAAAAAAGTTTTAGGAAAATCAAAAAGTTTTAGTCCGACAGATAAGAAGTCTTGGTGGTAGAATAATAATGTATAGGAATAAGTCAAACATAAGAATGAGTGTTTTAAAGCCAAGAAAAAGTCAAAACGTTTTGGTCCGAGAGATAAGGAGTCTTGCTATTGAAGTGTGGAAATGTTTAAGTGAAATGAGATCTTCAAGTCCAAGAAAAAGCCTGATAAATGGAGAAGAAATATATTAGTTCCTATTTACAAAAATAAAATAGACATTTAGAATTGTACAAACTACAAAGGGATTAAACTTATAAGTAACGCAATGAAATTGTGTGAAAGAGTGATCAAGCATGGGTTAAAATTAGAAACTAGTATTTCTGAGAATCAATTTGGCATCATACTAGGTAAGGCAACTACAAAAACAATTTATCTATTAAGGAGATTAATGGAAATGTATTAATGCAAAGGTAAACATTTAAACATGGTTTTGATTTGAAAAAAGCTTAAAATCGTATATCGAAGAAGTACTTTGGAAAGCTATAGAAAAGAAAGAAGTCTAGTTTACCTATATTAGAGGTATACAAAATACATATGAGGGAGCAACAACTAGCATAAAAATGTCTAGCGGTAAAACAAAGGACTTTCTTATAAGGATTGGACTACATTAAGAATCATCTTTAAGTCCTTATTTGTTTGACCTAGTCCTAGATATTTTAACTAAACATATTCAAGAGGAAATTCCCAAATGCATGCTTTCTGCAGATGATATAGCTGTCATCACGGAGACAAGAGAAAAAATTAACTACAAACTTGAGTTGTGGAAGAAAACATTAAAATTGAAAAGTTTTCACTTAAGTAAGAGCAACAACAACAACAAACAACAACAACAACAAGCTTTTATCCCGTTAGGTGGGGTCGGCTACATGGTTTGCAAGACGCCATTGTGCTCTATCATTTATCAAGCTTTTAGGAATATTATTAATTAAGAAATCGCGTTCAACAACTTCCAAGAGTGTTCTCTTAGACCTTCCTTTACCTCTCTTAATCGGACTCAAAGTTATATATTCCACTCTTCTCACTGGTGCCTCCCTTGGTCTTTTTTGTACATGCCCAAACCATCTCAATCGATTTTCTACCATTTTTTCCTCAATAGGTGCCACCCTCACTTTTTCGCGTACGTGCTCATTTCAAATTTTATCTTTACGTGTATGTCCACACATCCATTGTAACATTCTCATCTCTGCTACTCTAACTTTATGCTCTTACTGTCCCATTAGACCCAGCATTCACTACTATATAACATTGCCGGTCTGATAGCAGTACGATAAAACTTTCCTTTAAGTTTATTAGGCACCTTACGGTCGCAAATAACTCCTTTAGCTTTTCTCCAATTAAACCACCCAGCTTGAATTCTATGTGAAATATCTCCACTGATTTCGCCATCATTTTGAATAATGGCTCCCAAATATCTAAACTTTTTCACTTAAGGTATAATTTGATCTCCCAATTTCACTTCTAAATTATTGTCAAATAGTCCTTTACCAAATTTACAATATAAATATTTCGTCTTACTTTTACTCAGATGAAAACCTTTCGACTCCAATGTCCTCCTCCATAACTCAAGTTTGCAATTAACCTCTTCTCTTGTCTCTGCTATAAGAACTATATCATCCGCAAAGAGCATACATTTTGAAATTTCCCCTTGAATATGTTCCGTCAAAACATTTAAGATCAAGTTGAACAAATAAGGACTCAGAGATTATCCCTGATGTAGTCCAATCTTTGTAGGAAAATCCTTGTTTTGACCATTAGGCGTTCTTATATTAGTTTTTACCCCCTCATACATATCTTGTATGGCTTTAATATAAGCAATCCGTACTCCCTTTTTTTTCTAACGCTTTCCAAAGCACTTCTCTTGGTATACGGTCATAAGCTTTTTTCAAATCAATAAAAACCATATGTAGATCTTTATCTTTACAACGATACTTTTCCATTAATCCCCTTAATAGATAAATCGCCTCTGTAGTTGATCTACCTGACATAAAACCAAACTGATTCTCAGAAATACTTGTCTCCAATCTCAACCTGTGCCCAATTACTTTCTCCCACAATTTTATTGTGTAGCTCATGAGTTTAATCCCTCTATAGTTAGTACAATTCTGAATATCTCCTTTATTTTTATAAATAGGAATTAATGTACTTCTCCTTCACTCATCAGGCATTTTCTTGGACCGTAAAATCACATTAAATAACTTAGTTAATTATCTCACCCCTTCTTCACCTAAACATTTCCACATTTCGATAGATATACAATCAGGTCCGTTGGCTCTACCATTTGCCATTTTCTTAAGAGCTTCATTTACCTCCTTATCACGTATTATTTGATAGAATGACAAATTTTGTTCTCCTTCACCAGTTACTAAATCCTCCAAGTTACTAGATGAACCCTCTCCATCATTGAAAAGTTTAGAAAAGTAAGTCTCCCATCTATTTTTAATTACATCATCTGTAACTAAAGTTCTTTCCTCTTCATCCTTAATACACTTTACCTGCTCTATATCTCTTGATTTTCTTTCCCTACTCTTGAAAATCTTATAAATATTTCGCTCTCCTTCCTTCGTCTCAAGGCTCTTGTAAAATTCTTCGCTCACCTAAGTAAGAGCAAGACAGAATATTTACATTGTAGTTTTGTTAAAAGGTTAGTCAGTAGTAATTTGGAAGTAAAATTAAGAAATCAAATCATATCTCAAGTAGAAAAATTTAGATATTTGGGAGCTACTATTCAACATAATAGGGAAATTGATGGGGATGTTGCATATAGAATACAAGCTAGATGGTTTAATTAGAAAAAGACTAAAAGAGTTATTTGTGATCAAAGGTTCCTAATAAACTCAAAAGAAAGTTTTATCAAATTGCTATAAGGCTAATTATGTTATATGATAGTGAATATTCGGCTTGAAAAGGACAGTAGGAACATAAAATTAGAGTAGCAGATATGAGAATGCTAAGATAGATAAATGAACATACACATAAAGATAAAATCTGAAATAAGCATGAATGAGAAAATACAGGCACAACATCTATTGAAGGAAAATTGGTAGAAAATCGTTTGATATCATTTGGATATGCATAAAGAAGACCACAGGAGGCATCAATGATGAGAGTGGAATCAATAATTTAAAGCCCTGTAAAAAGAGATAGAGGAAGGTCAAAGAAAACACTTATAAATGTTGTTGATCGAGAGCTTTTAATTAATAATATTCCTAAAAGCTTGGCAAATAATAGAGCACAATAGCGTTGTGCAATCCACACAGTCAACCCCACCTAGTAGGATAAGGCTTGTTGTTGTTGTTGTTGTTGATTTCAATGTTTTACTATTTGTCACTCTCTTTAGCAGACCAAAGGAAATATAATTTCTAAGGCTTTGTTTGGTTCACTAGAAATTGAAGTAGGGAAAGGAAGCGGGATATTTGATTCCCTAGTTGGTCTTTGGGGAAAATGACAGAATTTGACCTCCCACCACCACCTCATAGGAAATCCATATTTTCTTCCGAAACACTTTATCCTGGCCAAAATACCCTCAACCTCAACTTCAATGTTAGCTTCAACCACACCAAAGATAAACCACCCTCAAGTTCAACTCTATCATAGATCTACCCTCTATTCAAATCTAAAGCCTATCGACAAGACTCTAAGCTCTATCATTCTAGACTAGTCAAAGAGCATCAAATGTCAACTTTGAATTTGATAAACTTCAAGGAGCAAAAGTCATCAATTTGAATCCCACCAAAGCTGGCAACCAAAGAACCAACTCACTCTCTCTCACCATTGATGACTTTCTCTACCTCACCGACAATGATTCTCTTTCTCTCCAATCACAATCAACATCATCATGAGTCTCTTCTGCAGCAACCATGTTTCTACAACGACAATTTTCTTTGCCTTTTTCACACCTTTCCTCCCTCTCTTCAAGATTCTCCATCATCATCTCGTCTTCTTCCTCTTCTTTCTCAATCATCCAAAGCTCTCTTCTATCATTACAAATTTTCAATATAACTTAGCATTTGATATCTTTGATGAGTTTATATTTGAAAAGATTTTGCAAATCTAAGAGTTGACAAATCTATTGTAAACCAATATTTGATTTCAAATATGTTGAAATCTTTGATTTTGAAAATCTTGTTAATCTATTGAGATTTTTAATTGAATTTGCAAATATTCAATCTATCAAAGAGCCAACCATTTTATTGATGAAGAAGGCCATCACTTGGGGCAAAATTTTTCTGTTTAAAATTCCCTTAAATGGTTTCACAGTATTTTTAGTTAGGGTCATTTTTAGTCTAGTAATAATTCAAGCTTCCTTTCCATGATAAAAGCATGCATATAAAACAAATTTTAACTAGAGATTGCATTCAAACATACATTTTAACCACATTCTCATTCCTATTCTCCTTCTCACTCCCTTTCCTCTTCCCTTTCCATTAAAATCCTTGCTACAAAACAAATGGGGTCTAAGAGTCTTTTGATTAGATTTGATTTCAAAGGAATAAGAAAGTGCAAGTCAAGCAATTTGAACATCTCCTAGAAGAACATCATATGTTTCTCCCTTGTTGATGTGCTTACATGGCAAATGAAAGAAACCAATCATGAGCAGGTCCTTTGGATCAATCACTTCCACTATAATTGAAACAAATAAGACCCTACTTATTACAAGGCACAACTTGAATGGTCATAATAACCAACAATGGGTATGGAGAGAAAAACATAACATACGGCCTATTCAGCCCTTAAAAAGGATAAGAATGGAATAGAATGAAATGGTAGGGAATGGAATGAAATGGAAGGGAATGAACTGCAATCTGGATCGTTATGAATTTGTTTGGAATAATATTAAAAATGAGGGACATTCTAATTGGTGTTGGTTCATTCTTATGCGCAACACTATGGGTTCCTATAGCATTTGTAGAATCCCAACTTGCTTTTTTGACCCGCAAATCAAAAGTAGTCTTTAACAAGACATTATAACAATCTAAATTATATGAGAATCAATGACCCAATACAACTTACCTAGGAGAATATCTTTTTAACAAAACCATGCAATGGTAATTCATGCATCAAACATAAGTGTAAATATCTTGTGCATAACCATGCACCACAAAAAAATAAACTACTTAGGAGAATGACCATGATTACCTTGCAACGAAACCATGCACCACGATAACCATCTTGAAAAGATCTTGCCTCAGCAAATTGACCAACATGAAATGGTAATTGATGCATCTTTCATCAAGATGCCTACAAGCTTTTCTATCTTGCAAGACATGAAGTAATAAACATAGAAATAAAATCAACAAAACATCTCAAGCTCCTTGGAGATTAACATAAATCACAAATAATGCTAAGAAAGTTTTATTATAGTTGATGAAACAATGAAAATAGAGTTAAACCAAGGAAAGACAACCAGCCAACTAATCACAACGATTGTTACAATAGTATTAATTCTCCTTTCTTATGCAGTTAAACTCTATAATAGTTAATTGCATGATAATGTAAGCTATAAAACCTTCATTATATTATAATTATATATCAAGCCTCCTAGTATCAAGGCTTTCCAAAGTATTCTCACTATTTCTTTTGTTCTTTAAGCTCTAACCAATTTTGGCATTACAATTCACCATATTTCACATTGGAATCTTCAAGATCATTTAAGGTAGTTTGCAAATCTACAAACCAAAAAACAAAAAAAGAGCTAATAAAGGCACTGGTGAAGAAAACTTTAGATAGTCTTTGACTATCTAGAGAGAGATATAAAGAGGCCAAGAACAATCAAGGAAGTTATCAAATAGATCTATTGGTAAAAGATATATTTGAAGAGTTGATTATTGATATAACATAGTGGTGTCATGAATCTATGTAACTAACCCCACTTCATAGGATAGAACTTGTTATTGTTGTTGTATACAATTGCACATTAATGGCATCTCAAGCCATACAACCTTCAATCTATCATAATTCTACATAAAACAAGCCTCCTCATAACAAAGCTTTACAAAGTATTCTCTCTTTTTATTTTGCACTTTAGGTTCTAACCAAAAGTTTTTTTTACATATTTTATTACTTTTTCAAATATGAAGCTAAATAGTTTTTTTCCCAAAAGTAAACTTGATTGTAGGCTTTGAATAAAGTGAGGCCATTAAAAGGGTTAGAGAAGTGGAGAGAGACAATGCATTATACAATTTTAATGCCCCATGCATTGCAAAGGGATGAATTATAGTTATATTGATTTGAAGTCTAATGAACAAATAGAGGGAAACTAACTCTTGGTATTTCCCAATGATGAGAGGGGAGGTAGAAAGAAAGGGGAGAATTTGATAAGAGAATCGTAAGACCCTAATTTCACACCATGCCTTGATTACCAAAGGACTACTCTAACATATACTCCCTCGGAACTACAATATAAGTCATTATTAACTAATTTAAATTTCTAAAAGAAGTTGGTTAAAATTTTAATTTTCTGAAAAAAAAATTCAATCATACCTTTAAGCGGAATAAAGATAATATTTCATTTATTCAAAAAAAAACCCTCATTAATTATTTGAGTGAAATATAATAAAATGAGAGTATAACTGAAAAAAATATAGGAAACCTCCCAATGCCGCCTTATATTTAAAACCAAGTAAGGCTTTCAGAAAATGCCTTATATTGTAGTCCAGAGGGGGCAGGTATATATTGCCTAAGCATTAAGCAACACCCAAGTTAGTCTAGCAATAGACAATAGTTAGTCCACACACTATATTAAAGTTTAGTACACTTCACCTTAAAAAAAATGAATAAATAAAATAAGGGGAAAAAAGACATATTACCAAACTCCCTTGTTTAGAGTTATAAAAGTAAATATTTATATATCACAAACGTAATGTTAACCCACCCTAATCCCACACCAAAACTTTCCTACCACTAGTATAGTTGAGGTTGTACTAGGAGCAAGTCCAAACATTATTTAGAAAACAGCAAACAAAAACAACAAGCCTTTATCCCACTAGGTGGGGGTCGGCTACATGGATTGCAAAACGCCATTATACTCTATCATTTATCAAGCTTTTAGGAATATTATTAATTAAGAGATTCCAAACATTATTTAGAAATTATAATATATTAATGCGGCTAGTACTATAGTAGAGTTTGCAATATCGCCCTTATAAAAGAGCCTTTGAATAGCAGAAGAAGCTATATTGAAATCCTTAAGATCATTTAACAGGATTAAGATCTAGTAGAAGGGGTTTAAAAGAACTAATGGAGTAGAACTATTAGAAGAATTTACCTCAATCATCCACACACAGATCAGGCTCGTCCTGGCTGCAATTCGGGATGCTGACTGCCACTTATCAACAGTCCAAGGCATAGGCGGACCTATATTACACCCAGTGCCCCCGCTGGAATCTTTGAAATATGCATAGTTGATATAATAACGTTTTAATTTTTTGTTCCAGATGCTTTGACACAACTTTAGCCAATACACAACGAATCCGACATTGCAAACCAACACAATCCAAAGCCTACAAGTCGCTAGTAATCAAAATGAAGAGGACAAAAGTACAATAGCCAATTACACACCATTCAAGAAAAACGAGTAAAAATAATAAACTCAATCTGTAAGTTTTCCCAAGTTCAAAAGTGTCAATATTCAAACGACTACGCAACCAGATTCAAAGAAACAAAGCAAGAACAACCAGCATGAACGGATGACGCGGGAAACAAATTCAATATAAGATTCAATGCCCGATTGAACAACTCAATCTCACCGGATTTTATGAGTAGACAAAGCCCTAGGTTCGAACCTTCTTCACTACTTGCCCGAGAACAACCACGCAGGGCTGACAACGGCCGACGGCGTCTGACGGAGTAGCGAACGCTTGCTAGTCGACGAAGAAAAATGGATCCGCTGCTCCTTCCCACGATATGTTTTGTGGGGGTTAAAATTAACTTCAGGAGAAGGTGTCGGTTGAATGTTAATTAGGGAAAATCGCTCCTAGTTCCCCCATTTTAAATGCTAAAAGAATCAATAAAATGTATGAACTATCCAAATTTTAAATCAATTACTTTAAATTTTAAATATATTTTATATTAAGTTACAAAAATTATTTTAGTAAAATATTCTTGAATTATCTTTTTACAAAAAAAAATCATTTAAACAATTTATATACTTTTTTTATTAAAAAATATAAAGTATTTTTAATCAAATATCACTCTCAATCAAGTAATTACCTACTTTCAAATTAACATTATCTTTCTATATTTACTCATATTAAATAGCCTATCATAAATATAAAGTCATTTATTAATAGGGGTATATTTAAAAAAAACACAATAATTACACCTTGAAAGAGTAAGAATGCCTTATATTTTTTTAATATTCAACTTCTCAAAAAATGTCTTATATTTTTTAACAAAAAGAGTACATATTACTGCAAAGCTCAAAAAAATTACAAGTCTTCGAACAATCCCACTTTCTATATTAAAAGCTTTATCTTTCTTACTAGTAATTTTAATTTATATTTTATCAACTATGTTTTTATTATTTTGTAGAAGGTTAAAAAAAATATAATTTTTAAAAAAAATCAGATTTTATCTAATATGAAGTGAATTTTCTAGTATAAGTGAATTAAAATTAAATGTGTACAATATACATCAATTGGTCAATGGGATTTAAAATGACACCATTAAAGGATAAAAATGAAGATTAGATTAATCGGTGGTTATATTAGAGAAAAGAAAAGAAGCAAGGACAAAGTTGGAAATTTTTTATTTCCTATTTTCTTTTTTCTTTATGTTATGGAAAAATGATAAGTAAGGATCTTATAACAATATTAATGTCAAATTAAAAATTTTAGTATTGAAATATGGTAGAAGAAACATTAAAATTTGATAACGTCAATGTTAAAAAATCTTAATTTGATATTATTATTCTTACAAGGCTCTTATTTGTCATTCTCCCTTATTTTATTTTCTTTTTTAGTTGATTTTCTTAATTTTTTCCCTTTATTTTAGCAGTTTTTTTATCCATTAATTAGAACCTCATTCTAAATTCCCAAGGCCATTTTCATATTTTATTGATTTCTCATTTCATCTCACCATATTTCTAACGTAATTTTTACCAAATTTCACTTCCTATACTTTCCACTCTTTTATTTTTCCACATTATATTTCATTTTTCATTCCATTAGATCTGAAATTATCACCATTATGTCATATTTTGTGAATTTTAAGAAGTTATAAAAGAGTATTTTAGGACAATTAAGAAGAATATAGAATGTTCCAAAATATTCTAAAAGCATTTAGAACAATTTAGAAAAATCTAGAAGGTTCTTGATACTTGTGGAGGGATGTGAAGATACTTAAAATATTCTAAAATAATTAGGATATTCTAAAATGTTCCAAACATATCTTGAGATAATCTTTAAAAAAGTTTATATAAATATTTAGATATTTCTATATAGAATTTTAGAGAAATAATGACAATCGTATGATCGAATTAATCTCCACCGTCTATTGAAAAAATAAGAACATTTTACATAAAAAGGGAGGTCTATAAATAAGTCTACCCTCCTCATTTGTAACCATCAATGAGTTTTCAAAACAATATAACTCTCACATTTCCCAAACTTTCTCAATCATCCTTTTCTGTCAAGATTTTCATCATTCAACTTTGTCAAAGCATCTTCCTATTTATAAATTAAGCTTAAGCTTAAGCTAAGCACCTTCCAGTGAAGTGTGACTAAGTGTTGCATGAGTCAAAAGACTGGCTCGTGACAATTAGCTCATAATTACATTTGGAATTAATCTTCAAAAAAAGTAAATATAGGATTTTATATAGCACGTGCAACACAACAAAAATAGCAATCTGATTCACTTGGCTATTAAATACACCCACAGTCACGATTTTATTCTTCCCTGTCTTCTTCTTTTATAATTTCTCTCTCCCTCTCTCTTCTTCCACCCACTCCCCCTCTCTTTCTTGATTTTGCACATTCCTTCTACTAATTTCCAATTCCAAACCTAGTAGAAATAGGGAAAATTTCACTAAGAGACCCTTAACTGAACATAATAAGAAAGAAGACCCCAAACTTTCTAATATATCACTGCATGACTAGGGTTCTGATATTGAATTAATTTTGAAAGTCAAATGACAAAGTTACTCTTAAAATTGTCAAAAAGAAAAATGTAATGACCCTAGTCACTACCCCTAATTACAACATATATCAATATTTCAAGAAGATTAAACTAGCTTTAAGGGTGCACATATCTTAAAATAAGATAATTAGATTTTATATAAGTTTAGCAACCATTTAAAAGCATTCAACATATACAAATCATATGTATAAAGATTTCTTGTATCAGTCTCTGCTTACTCACCTCGGCTTGCAGAACCACTCACCCTGGCCTATGTATTCACCCCAACCTATAACTCAACTTGTCTCATTGAGGGCTTACCTCACTCCCCTCGGCTTGTACTCCACTCGCCCAGGAGGGTAGCACATTTCATAACGTTCAGAGAGGAACATATGTTTCCCATTTAGAATTAGATTCAATAAGTCATAAAACACTCATACAGATATTCCCCAAGCATACTTCGAAATTAAATTGAATATTCACAAATAAACGAGCTAAAATCTAGCTCAAGTTCTTAAATCTTCAAGTATAATACTATGTCTCTTTTAAACCAGTTTAGACCAAAATACCACAAATATTCTAAATATCAAATTCACATGAAACATAAACCTGAATCTACATGTCCCGATAGTTGGTAATATATAATAATAATACATTACAAAGAAATTCACCAGAAGCCTTAGTAGCTCTAGTGTTTTGTTCCCAAGCCTTTGTCTTTATCCTTCCCTTATCATATCCTAGAAATTGTGAAAGTAATAAGGTGATATTTCATACAAAATCTTAGTAATTAGGATATTTAAATTAACATATAAAATAGTGGTAACATACAATTCATACAATCCACATATTTAGCTTAAGAGTACACTACAAACAAGATATATTTTAGAGTTTATATTAGTCATTTAATTCCATGATGATTCATAGAAAAATATGTATCAAATGATGCATGGTCAAATCCCCCTTATAACCTCCTTATCACCTCTAACTAAACTTATGGGTAACTCACTGCAGTTCTAATCCATACCACTAGGCCAATTCTGCTCTCCAAATCAGGAGGGGTTTCCCGGCCAAAGGCTTCCTCAATCTAGTTTGGACCACGATTCCCCTTACTCAAATGCAGGGTGTCATGATATGCTCGACCAACATTATCAATCCAAGTAATGAACTTGAGCAAGTGCTAGATTAACACTATCAATTTAAGCAGTGAAACTTACCGCAGGCATGCGTGCACATATATTCATATGAATCACTACTAAGGGGTGACCTCAGTAAGGTAGATCATGTATTTTTATAGTATTTACAACTCTCCTATAGGTGAACTCCTACCTTTATGCTTACATTCGATCATCAAATTTATACATGCAATTATTTCAGAGTAGTTTCTCATTTTTAGAGTTCACATATATAGTCCAATTCACAATGTACAGCATTTCATCATGTGTATCATTAAGTATTAATACTCCAGATAACACATAAACATGCTATACATACATTTCCATAACATCCCACTGAATCAACATGTACATTCAGATGTGGTTTTCATAACTCAAACGCAACCCATAATTTTAGTAAATAATTTCCAAGTAGTGTTACAGACTATGCTATATATTAACTTAAATTCCAGTTATCTCAGACCTTTGAGAGATTAAAAGTTCAATCTCTCACTCCTAAGTTCTATTGTACTTAGATCCCGTTAGTTTTTAGGATGAACCCACACTATATATAGGTTTTTGTATAAATAATTAAATTAGTTAGAATTCTTTTTGAGACCTAGATGGATAAACTTTAAGAATTCAAATATAAGATCCAAGCCCAAGGCAAGATCATAGACATTAAATCTATTGAACAAAGATGTATAAGGTGCGACACTTCACTCATGGGGAGTAGTGAAGACCATATGGCATTTATTCTCTTGAGTATCGGCAGGGTGTGGTGTTGGAATTTAGGCTCTTTAGCATTTGTGTGATGTGGTGTTAGAGTATGACACCCCGATCGTGTGTGATAGAGGAAAACCATAGTCTGTAAGTAGGATCAAACACCTTTAGCCAGGTGATTCTACTACTAAAGGTGTGCTTGGGTCAATAAGTGTATGATTGGCCTAGTGGAACCTATGGTTTCAGTTAAGGTGATATAGAGGTTTGGATGATGGATGGTCATGCTAATGGAAATGATATAATGTGACAATGGTGCGTATAAATGTAATTTTATATATAAGTTTTACTTATTTACAATTATGCATGTTAGTTAGTAGCTGTGAGTTATTTTATTACTGAGATGATTATCTCACCCCATGGTTACATTTTTATAGGTCCTAATTGTGAGCAAGGCAAAAGGAAAGGTTTTGATGAAGTGTATTAGTGGCTACAACTGTACCCTTAGAGTTTTGTGTAATGAATTTGTATTTTAAATGTTTCATGTTATAAGTTGCCATAGGATGCATTAGCATGTGATAATGTAGTTATGTTGTGAATATGTGTGTCCTAGCTTATGTGTGTGGTTATGTGTGCAATAGTTATAATATCCTTAAATTTTAATCTAGATATTTAGGCTTGATTAGATTAATTAAGTTTATTAGAGTAGTGTGTGGTCAGAGAAGCCTAATAAGTGTGTTTAGTTATAATTTTAGCCTTGAAAGCGGGTTTAAAGGAGAATTAGGTCACCCAGATGTGAAAAGAGGAAGAAAATTGAAGGGTAAGGTTTTGTGCCATATACCGCGGCTTGTGGATCAAGCCGCTGTGACGCATGTATACAGACATGCCCTCTGTGCCATGCGTTACGGCGCATTATGCATCTGCTAAGGCACATGGACACTTTTCTGTAGAAAT